AAAATTTGGCAAGAATTAATTGAAAATTCTGTTAAAAAAGATATCAAAAATGATATAAATGATTATTTTTTACAGACAAAAATGGACTATGGTGAATATACATATTATAAACATTTTTTTTGGCGATAATATTAGTATTTCAGAATTTTTTATTTTTCTTGGATGTTATAAAAAATATGATTAATCACGTTCTATTTTTTTGATATCTTCTTATGATCATATTACTGGATATAATTATTATTTATATAATTGTGAAAAATGTGATGAATATGTAAGTTTAAAAGAAGATAAAATTTTTAAAAAATGTTTTAATTGTAGATTAAATAGTTAATATATTTTAAGTTGTTTATTTTTTTTAAATTAATAATATAAATAAAAAGTATAAAAAATATCTGATTTTACTTTAATTTCAAGAAAAATGAATAAAAAAAGAACTTATCAATTTGTTCATAATAGTGCAATATCATATCACTGTAATAATTATCGTGAAAATTTTAAATGTAAAAAAACTGAATTAAAAAAAATTAAAAAAAAACATGAAGAGCAATTTAAAAAATATGGTGTCTCTATATGTGATCTATGTAAAGATTCACATTGGCGCTGTAAAAATAAAAAATGTACAAATTGTTGTATTCTTAATAAATGCAATAATGTTGTATGTAATTATTGCAAAACTAATAATTTGATATGTGAACGAGCATTTCCTATGACTCAAATAGCATATGAAAAAATAAAAAATGAAATTTTATTTATAAGTTATCAGTTTAAATCTACTAAATCTGGTAAACTTCATGCACAAATTTATTTTCAATGTCCTGTTAAAAAATACCAAACAATAAAAAGTATAAAAAAATTTTTCAATGATCATTCTATATCAGACACCACCATACCATTCATTGTAAAATGTTCTCTATAAAGATAACCTAATGTTTTAATGATTATTTGTACTAGAGGTCAGATTCTTTGAATATCCATCATAACTATTCTAGTATTGGACAAATATCCAGATTTTGGATGGATACCCATGCTATTATTTGTAATCGCGAATATTTACGCAAATATTCACGAATATACATGGATCAATTATATTGATTATAAACCCTCGATTATTCGTGAATTTCATATAACCAAGTATTGGATATTCAATGAATATCCATTTCTAACTGTGAATATTCATGAATCTGGTCTCTAGTTTGTATACATATTTTCGTTATAAATACAGTTCATGAGTTTTCCTCCTTTTCAACAAAAAATATCAAAATTAATCCTTGATATCAATAATATTGATCACACATATAATTTCAAGAAGATTCAGGATCGAGATAAAACCAGTCTGCTCAAATTATACTATCATTTAAAAGAACATGATATATCCTGTGATATGATTCTTGATCGTAATGAAACCTTTCTTATTAGATTCTACAACACTATCCTATTTCTTATTATCACTTTATACTCTTTCGTTTTTAATGATATTCTTGCTAAAAAAAAGTTTCAAAAACTATTTTTTTCCCAAAGTCATTCTTAAAAATATTTTCTCTCCAAGACAACCCACTGAAGTGATTTTATGCTTTTTAAATTTATATATCACATACTACCGTACCATTCATTGTAAAATGTTAGAGGACGTCCAAAAAGCAATATTTGCGAGAACTCTTTACAGTATATATTCTTTTCAGCTAAATATGGATCTGTAATTTACGAGCACTACATCTGATATTATTTTGATCATTAAAAAGAAAATTGATGTTGAAAGTATCTATATGTTTAAACACTCAATTCCTTTCGTCAAATACAAAAATGTAGAAATTTCCATCCTGAGATTTCATTATATATTTCAATACAAAACTGTCTATTTTCGTTTTACTGATTGTTTTCTCAAATTTCGGAAAAAACGTATTGATGAGCTCAAATCACTCAACTCTTTACTGAAAACTTCATGTCCCCGAGGGATATATGGGATCTTCCTTTACAAGATCGATGATCTGAAACCTACAGATAGATACTTCTTGTTCTACAGAAATGTGTTGTTTCTCGCATATGATAGTAAAGAAATCATCAGTGATATAAGAAAATTATTTGATGAATTCTGCATACTTGTGATTAACAGAAATCACGCTTCAATAATGGTGAGTGTGAGATCATGAATGGGCATGCAACCTGTGATAGTGAGTGGCACCACCCATGTCACTAGTGGGGAGGGAGGGACGATCGTTTTGAAGTATCTGGGCGTTGTCTATAAATGATTGAGCTTGCGTTCACGTAGCGTTTTCGCTAACATTTTTTTCATTTACAGAATGAAAAAGGAGAGGCATCAATAAACATGGATAGTGATAATAATCACATATCAGAATCGACAACACCATCCACAACCGGGCGTAAAAAAAAAAAGATGATCAAGTGAAATTTCACGAACAAAACGTCCCATATATCAGAATACTCCACAAGCTCAAAGAATAAGAGAAAAGATCCAGATCGTAGTAATGAAGAATTGAAAAAATCAGAATCCGACAATGAAACTCGCGGTTTCAAGATAGCTCCTAGAAACCATTTTCGAAACGTTATTGATTGATTTACCCCCTTCCGCCCTTATGAATTTTTTTTCTAGGTTTTTTTTTCTTCTAAATTCAGAAGATTAATGATCAGCGGACATGTCCCCCTGTAAGAAGCTACTGTATATCAATAGTAAGAAAAATGATCATCGCAGCCAATTTTATTATAAAATTAAGCGCAGTATTTTTTTCTAGTTATAGTGAAGTAGTAATAACTACAATAATAGCATAAAATATTTTTAAATAGAATATTTTATAGAAGTTTCTAAATGGTATATTTAAAATTATATAGCATTTTACGCATTAGGTTGTAAAACATCTTCGTGCAAAAATTTCAAGTCTACCCCTGTAAAAAGCTGCAAATCAGGTGATCTGAATT